CCGAGCTGTGGACCATGAACGCCTATCATCGGCTGTAAACTTCAGCTAGACATGATAACAAGGTCAGTACTTAACAGGGGGTGACAGAGCGACGGGGGTGCAACCCCAAATTATTGTGGCATTATACCAACACTGGATTATTGTCGTATATTATACTAAACTGTGCTTAAGTCCAGGGGGTGGCAGAGCGACGGGGCTGCATTACTGGATTATTGTGACATTGTAGTTTATTATAATCTGTGGGTCAGTCCTGCCTAGCAATCTTTACGAACACTAGCTGACCAAACTGAAAAAAATGTGAAAATGTGATAGTAAAACCGTAAGAAAAAATCCGGGGAAAAAAGTGCGTGGAATAAAACCGTTAAATGAGACGTGCGCAGGCGCGATGAAGTTCCTTACGGCAGGCTTGGAGGGGATAGGGATTTTGCTGCGCGACCGAACTGAAAAAAATGTGATAGTTAAACCGTAAGAGAAAATCCGTGGAAAAAAGTACGTGGAATAAAACCGTTAAATGAGACGTGCGCAGGCGCGACAGTCGCATACACAAGCGAGTTTGCAATTTGTGTCGATTCTACATTAGCCGAAGGAACTTCGTTCCTACCTGGTGTCACACGACACCACATCATTTTTTTTTTCCTTAATTTATACTTTAACGTACTGTATTCTAAATTTAAAGCGTCTATGTCTGCTAGAAGCGCCTTAGAGTTTTGATGATCGGTCGGTCAGTAAGTGACAAAATTAAGAAACTTTCACTAGTTATAATTCTTAAACTACTGGCTCAATTTCAATAAAATTTGGGATATATCGACTTTATACAATGCCTATTTGGTTACTGAACACAGGCTTCTACTTTTATCGCCAACGAAGTTATAGGGAGATGAAAATGGCCTGAACTGTTTCGAGAAAAGGGTGGTACGGCCGTGCCGCTCTTTTTGCTTGACTTGGCGGGGGCACTGCCGTGCTCCCAGATTCCAGAAATATATAGTGTAAGCAAACTACCGTCAAACCACCGGCATTCTGTATAAAAGGCGAGCGGCGCGCGCGTATGACACATTAACTTCTTGGCGCGCGAAGCGGACGGACCTCTGATCGAATCTCTGTCGGTTGCTAGTGTAATTCTTATAAGTCGATATTTCTATTAATTCAATGGTGATTATGGAGAAGTGCACAATTTAAAAAGTGTTTTGTGATTAAATAAATGGAAACAGCGTAATTGTTATAATAAATATTCAGTAATTGTAAATAGCGTAATTGTTCTAATAAATTAAATTAGTAATTGTAATACAAAGGATAAAAATTGAGTAAATATCGTCAAGTGTTTCTTTTTTTTATTATTTTACTAGTTCTGCTGTTAAAAATAGGTTAATATTTTTTTATCATTTTCTATATATATAGAAAACGCTAGCGAAGCACTCGTTGAAAGCATGGGATTGATCTTTGCCGAAAGCTTGAAATCATTGAGGTTTTTTTTCTTGACACTGATAAAATTATTGACTTTTTAAGCCACTGAGGAAAACATTATCAATAAAACAAATAACTTTAATTCACTGCAGTATATTTTTTCGCTATCCCCATTATATTAAACAAAGAAAGGATAAGCTTGGGTCAGTTACGCAGTGTTTTGTGTCGATATACTGCGTTTGATATTATTAAGGGTGTAAAAGCAATTAAATATAGGCAGGTTATCCGATAAAAGGCAGCAAAATCAGTTGGAAAGATTTTTTGCACAGCAATATAATTTGCAAAAATAAACATTGAATTTTGAGCATAAAAATCATAAGTACTAAAACTATAAATAAGCTTTCAGATACATATTTATAAATGAAACATGTTGTTTTTATTATAAACAAACATTATGTTCATTCATCAAGAACTATTCATTCAAATATTGTTCATTCTTTTAATGCCACATCCCTAATTTTGTGTTGGTGTACGCTCGAACAATTGCATAGTTACATAAAAATTGTTAGCGTGTGTGCGTTTTTTTATTGTGTTTGTTTGATGTAATTTTTGAAGTATGCGTTTATAGCAACAACACGCTCGTGTTTGTGGGAGTATTGAATATTTTCATTAGTGTGCTATACGTGTGTACCTCGTCCCGCACCAAAAATGGTGAAAAATTTTGTTCGGCGAGTGAACGCAATGGCACCTCCTGGTATAAATGCTCTAAGGGATTCGGCCAAAAAGCACGTTGTCTCACTTAGCATTGTGTCCAAAAGAGATAGAATCAGTTATGAGCAGTTAGCAGCTAGTCTAAACGCATACGTCTAGTAGCACGCACACAAACACCGAAGTCTGCCGAACGTAAACGATGTTAAACGATGGACGGCTTTCAACGCCGCACCGCTGTGCCGGTCGGAGTGGGGGGTGTTAAAAGAAAGAAAGAAAAAGAACGAAAGGAAATATTTTTTATAAAATAAATATTCTATATATTCTGGCAGGGCCTGCTTGGAGTTATACATATATAAGCTGGCGGTTGGCGCGCGTGAGGCGCTCGTTGATGTAGACCCGAGTGCCGTCCCCCACCGCCGGTGGCCGAGGGGGGGGGGGGAGGCGCCCTCCGCAATAGTGACCCTGCAGCGCACACGCGCGCACTACGCGCCGCCGCCGATCTCGATTTCGGACATCACAACTTCTGATTGAAGTCGTTAACCTCGGCGCGTAGCTCGGATATGGTGCGCTCCAAGTCTATCCTACCAGTTGCATCAGGATCCACTTGACGCTGCTCCAACACCGCAATTCTCTACTCGAAGGAGTCAAGTTGAGTGGTAAAAGAACTGCGGAAGACCGCTATCTCGGAGTTGAATTCCCTCATCTCCTTCATGCAGTCGGCCAGCATACTTTTTATATCCCTGGTGTGATTATTTCCGGCGGCGTTCTCCTTGACCTTACCCTGGACCTCATCTTCCTCTGGAGAACCACTGGCCAGGTCGACAGGTTCCCGTGCAGCAACCGGTTTTTCGGGCTCAGAAGATTCGCTGATACCCTATACAGGCGTATGCGTGTTGTCACCCCTGCGTGTGCTATTCTTGCAGTTCGGGCATATCCAGTCCTTGCTGACACGTGAATTTTGACGGGATGGCGAGGCAGGCCTTATTATATTTTATTGGCCAAGCACAGCAAACAACAGCATTGCTCGGCGCCCAAAAACTTCCACAAGCTCCACAGTTTACAGCCTTTAGTCCAAAATTTTAAATTATAATTATAAAGTCTAAATAAAAGGGAGACAAATAAAAATAAGAACAGGTGCTGGGGTCTTAAACAAATATATATATATAAAAAAAGAGTGCGGGATTTGAACCGACGACCGCGGGGATGCGTCGTACGTTGGTACATACCGTGGCAAAGATTTAACAAACTGCCCCGTTCAGAGTGATACTGAATTGGCGAAAATTGTGTTCTGTTGGTATATTATGCACTCTTGTAAGGTTTTTTCGTTATGGAATTTCTGATTCGGTCGCCGCGCTCAAAGCTATACAAAAGCTTAAAAATCTTCGAAACTCTGTAAACAATGCTGACATGCTTTGCTCTCCAATATTTTTTAAAACAAAAATAACGTATATTTAACTACTCAACAAGATTTAAACAACAATGTATAATCTATCCATTCCCATTCTTAATTTTAATAAAATATTTTCATCCCCCAGAAGGGGTAGGGTCCAACTTTTGGTGCCAATCGGTTCTGTTTGGCAGAATTGCCAGGTTTTTTAGTTTTTTCCCCGTGTCTTTACTGGAAATGGTCAGAGATAAAGCCCCCCCCCCCCTCCCCCACAGGATAAATATATAGATGACATTACCCTTTATCTGTAGGGTATCTGCTCTGAAAGTAACAGGCTTGTATACATTTTTGCTTCATTGATTCTTCTCCCTCACTGCACTCATCCATCGTTATACTCGATCTTTATGTCTGAATATATGAAAGAGCTATTTACTCATTGAAACTAAGAATCATCATCATCAACCTATTAATGTCCCCACTGCTGGGGCACAGGCCTTCCCTATGGATGGAATAGGGAGTTTGGGCCATGACCCACCACGCGGGTCCAGTGCAGATTGGTGGGTGCTAACGACTGCAGATGCAGCCGGGACAAACGGCTTAACGTGCCTTCCGAAGCACGGAGGAATTCGAGTTAGTAAATTTTTGGTAACCGATCCAATGAACGACCACTGCGAAAGTTGCTTAGCTTCAACGATCGCAGCCGAACGCGTTAACCACTTGCGCCATCGAGCTCCTCCTATATAAGAATAAAATAAGAATATTTTTTAAAATTAATTGATCTTGCAATAAAGCAACTCAATATTTAACTTCGTTATCACGCTATAGTGAGATAACTTTTTGATTTTGAAAGTTGGAATAAAGGATCGCAGGAGGTAGGTACCTAATAAATGTATTTTAAGGAAATCAGGATACTGCTTATCTTATCCCTAAAACAATTTAATAATCAAAATCCATTATTCAATCATTCACATAAAAACTACATATAATTTCATACAGAAATACGGTTAAATATATTTTCTCTTATAATCTAAACTACAATCATAATTTCGTGGGTAGGTAATATTTTTTTTTACATTTTCCCAATAATATGCAATAAATATAATCTTATACAAATTTCATACAATTACTTGTTTATAATCATAGTGAATTCTATTGTTCTTTCTTAAATCTGTAAATAGTACTTTTATTCGCATATTATGATTATTAGTTACATCAGGTATTCCGTTTGTTCAGGATATGATCGATAGAGACATTGCACTCAGTTCTTTGAACTTATTAGGTTTTAAAAACAAAGTAGATACGGACCACGAATTCAATTGAATAGGTATATAAGTAAGTTACAAAATAGAATTGGTACCTACAAATTTTAAACAATACAACGTAGTTAATTGCATACATGAACATTTACTATATAGAATATAATTATAAATTAAGTATATATATATATATTTATATCTTTTCAAAGACTCGCTGATAACGACCACATTATAAAGATAGTTAACTTTTCACTGACTAGCTCAATTTATAGACATGTGCATTTTATGCACAACAACAATGCTTGTAACTTAACGCTTCCTTAAATCTTTAGCAATATTTAAGTAGGTACATTTCTATTGAATTTTGGCCGACATAAATAATATTATTTTAATAAATTATATTTTATAATAAATTGATGCTTTTATAAAACTACTTAGGTACAATCCAAACAAATAAGCATTTAATATATTTTTCCTAAAATATTAACGTAACTATAACACGTTATAAATTATTATATTACTTTATTACACGTTTTAATAATTTGTTTTGTAGGTTTTATTAGTGCCGAATGATATAGTCTGTAGTACAAAAGAAATTATAATAATGTAAGTAGGTATGTAACGGAATATTCCTCTAACCATTATGAAATCTTAGACACCGTTAAATTGACTGTGATATTAGCAAACAAGCTATAGGCAAGTCATAGGTGCAAACGACAAGTTACAAAATAGTTGACTCGAAAGTTTTTAAAAGTTAAAATTTGCTGGCGTAACTATTTTATGGTTTCTCAAACCACGAATATTAAAAACTGTTATTATTTAAAAATATTATCAAACCAGCACTCATCAACTTTTCAAAACTTGAATTGAATAGCCACATTTAATATTAACATTTATTTGTTTTTTGTAAATAAATACCTTAATTGTGTGTTGTATTGTAAGCCTTACGAAAATAAGTACCTATCTATAAGTTTGATCTGCCTAAAATAATAAACAGAATAGGTAATAATACGTCAACAGTTTTCCTTAAAGTTTTTCATTTATAAAATAATTTGGGCCCTATTATGTAGAAAAATTACGTCGCAGTACTTTCTAATATGAAAAAACAGTGTTTTATCCATCTAAAATAACGACTAAATTTAGGTTTTCTACATTATCATTATTTTTCTGTAACAAGTTTGTGCTGCTGCAGTAATAAACTGAAGACAAAACGACCTTCAATTTTGACCAAAGATGTTTTCCTTCATTCTTGCTCCATTACAAAGCAATTTAATCTAAACTAAGTAGGTATAACGTTGACCTTTAAAATATACGCAAATGATTTAAGTAAAGCAAGCTAAAAGCGTAAATCAATAGACAAACAGTGTCTGGTTTGAGAATCTCGATGTAAATCAACGAAATACTGCTGATATAAAACTTTTTTAACGTGAAAATATCTACTTTGAAAAAATGCGGGATTCTCAATCCAGAGCTTCACAGAAAGACATCGACTATGGCTATGAATAAAAATAAGGTTCGTCATGTAGGTATCGGGAGCGCTGCTGGTTCAATTATTCGGTTTCTCTTTGTCGTTGCCTTCCTTTTCTTTTTCCTTTTCCTTTTCTTTCTCTTTCTCCTTCTTTTCTTGGAGCTGTTGCAGATGAGCTGGTAGGGCTTTTAATATGGCGTGTACCTAAATAAGGAAAGATAGAGATCTAAGTATTAACATCGGCATCGGCAGCTGACTGCTCCGGCTTTGCCCCCCGGGTGCAATTTTCTAAATATAATATCAGAAGCATTGAGATATCCATACAAAAACACTATCTCCAAACATTAATGTTCGCGCTAGTGGTGCGCTCTCGTATCGCAAATTTCTTAAGGAATATGGAGGCCAATTAATGCCCAAACTTTATCCTCCTAGATGATCTCGAAGTGAACCCGTGCTTAGAAAAGTTTCTAGATACTTATTATTTTTTGAATCAAACGTTGGTTTGGTTTCCGAAAGAGAACTAATCACATGTCATTCTACTTTTAAATATCTTACTTAGTTATATCTCTAACCCACTCCAACCTTAAATAAAAAAAACAAATCTTAATAATCTCACCTCTTCAGCGACAGCCATGAGAACGAACTCGAATTGTTGTTTAGTGGCAACGGTGCGCGTGCGCTGGTCTCGGATGTGCTCCAGCGTCGCCGCTATGTCGATCTCCTTCGCACCCTTGGCCATTCGATTCAGGACCATGTCGATCAAGCAATAAGTGCCAGAACGCCCTGCTCCATCACTGTTTCAGACGAAAAATTTAATAATCTCTATGATAGGTGTTATATTTTTTTTTATTAAGAGCTTTACTCCTTTTGTCTTGAAAGTGATCGAAAAATATATCATGTAGATTAAATAGTAAAAACAATTCAAACGGACACGGCATACTAGCAAGATCTTGACCATCAGCATTTTAAGCTTTGATCAACAATACCACTTGTATACAACCGCCATCGTTATTGTTAATAGAAGATATACAGTTAAATACTTGCCTGCAGTGCACCACAATAGGACAGGATCGGCCTCTGTACGATTTGTTCACCTTCCTGAAATGAAAAAAGCGAATTTAGAAAAAATCGACACTATACTTACTAAGTTTTATTAAGATATAATGAAAGTTAATAAAAAGCTTTGTCCAACATTAGAAATTACGAGGGGAAATATAAGAATTGTCTTGTGAGCATGCTCTCTCTGATGCTTTTAGGTAAATCTGTCACTGCATATCACTGCTCGCATTTTTTGATGTTAGGGTTCCCAAATCGGAACTTCGGTACTAGAGTAGAAGTTAGGCTTACAATATTGATAGCTATTAAATATTTTCACCACATAAGTTTAATTACAATAAAGATTTATCAAATGTTTTATCCCTATAAAATGATAACCAGGGGCAGCGTTTTCATTTTGCAGTCCACACAGGAATTCATGGTTATCAGCTTTTCTATAGATAAACACAATTAGTCGTTTCCAACAGACATTATTTATATACCACAAATTATTTATTCGCCATCTTATTATTTGTCGTTGTGATTTTTATACCACAAACGAGGAGTTCTTAGTAAAGGTTCTTCGATCTTCGTTCATGGAAGTTATGCAACTTTTGATATTGATATGGGCGACGCAAAATTTATTATCTCGAGCTCGTCCGTGTTTTGGTAGGCAACTTAAGCCGATGGTCCCGGCTGCATCTATAGTCATTAGCACTCACAAATCTGCACTGTGCTCGGTGGTTCATGGCCTATTTATTCTCCTTATTTCATCTATAGGGAAGGCCAGTGCTCCATTAATAGGATGATGATGATGACGATTAAGATCTTAAATTACCTTCTGAATTCAAGAAGCGCCTTCGTAGATGACGGTACCCCGTTCTCGGGCCAGGACAGGAAGTGGAATTGGGTGACTGTGCGGGTCTCCCCAGTGCGTTGGTTCTTCAGGTAGAAACTTCGCACCAGGTAGTCATCGCACCAGATATGTTCGCTCACTAGGTGCACCTGTACCAGAATTCATTCAAAATTTAGTCCAATTTCGTAAAAACTACAATATAACTTGTCTAAACTTAGGAAAAGTTTATTAAGTATTTTAGCGTTTTTTGGCAAACTACAATGCAGAAAAGTTAATTAAGCGGTATGGTTTATAAATTGTCCTCGCATTGGGATCAATTTTGCAACATCAGGGTGTCTACTACAACAGTGCGAAGGCTTCAATGAGGGCTACCGTTTTTTGTTTCACCAGATGGCGCCACTATTGAGTGAGGTCCTGAAGTGTAGCTTTTAAAGTTTGTTAATACGCACCTGAAATCAATATATTTAAATCATATTTTAATACAAAATGACCGTATCGTAAACATAATCCGTAACATAATCAGTTCCGTTTTGTTCGAAAAAAAGGGGGACATAATAATTATTCTTAACTCCGCCTTTAAATAACTGACAATTATTGCCATGTCAATTCATATTTGCCATAATTAATCTGAGTTATTACCAAACATTATTTTTATTAGAAATAAACCCACACAGTCAACCGACAAGCAATAACATTTGACATTTCAGAAACCCCACGCTATACAAGCGCCTCTAGCGGCGGATTTATAGCGATAGCCTTCATTCAGTGTGTACCTATATTTCGTGTGCTGACTCAGCTTACATTAACTTCACAGCTGCCATTCCATTTATTTTGAATCGCACTATAACAAATATTGACAGGGCCAGATTTAGAGGTGTTGAGGCCCCTAGCGTGCCCACGTTTTAATAAAATACACCCATATTTGAAAATTTGCCATCCAGGGCCACTTACCAGTTGCACTCCCCTGGTTGGTAACCCGGTGAAACTGGTTTTTTTTATATCTGTTGTGAGGGCTGGGCCACAGCCCCGTCTGTCCTGTTTTAAAACTAACCCTGGGTGTTTTAGTAAGTATAGTTAGCACAATCGTCACCCACGACAAGTATGTATCTATTTCGTGGGTATCGATTGTTCTAATTAGACGTCTTTGAGTACAGAGATGGCAATTAACTTTTCAGTTAGATCTAATTTATTGCTGTCACTTTTTTTTCAATATCTGTAGAGAAACATGTGACAGACAAATGACATTTTCATTTGTTTTCTCTTAGTTCAACCGCAAATAATGTTAGTTAACTCGTAGATATGGTATAGTTCAGAGCCCTCCTCGGGCCAGTAACGGTGGCAGAGCTGTTGTCCGTTCTCCTTGAAGCGGGCCAGCATCACCATGACGACGCCGCCCTGCTCCAATCTACATGAAGTCTCGAGCGGTATGTGGTAGCAAGTATTTCAGTAGGTAATGTTAGTACCTCGTAGAAATGGTATAGTTCAGAGCCCTCCTCAGGCTAGTAGCGATGGCAGAGCTGTTGTCTGTTCTCCGTGAGGCAAGTTAACATCATCATGATGACGCTGCCGTGCTCCTGCACCATCTACCAGAAATCTGGAGCGCTGTGTGCCAGCAAGTATATAATAAATCTTAGTTACCTTGTAGATATGGTATAGTTCCGAGCCCCTTCTTAGGCCAGTAGCGGTGGCAGAGCTGTTGGCCGTTCTCCGCGAGGCGTGTCAGCATCACCATGACGACGCTGCCTTGCTCCCATTCCATCTGCGAGGTCTGGAGCGCTGTGTTCTAGTTAGTATTTTAAGTAATCGTAGTTACCTCGTAGATATGATATAAATCAGAGCCCTCCTCGGGCCAGTATCGGTGGCAGAGCTGTTGTCCGTTCTCCGTGAGGCGGGTCAGCATCACCATGACGACGCTGCCCTGCTCCCATACCATTTGCCAGAAGTCTGGAGCGGTGTGAGCTAACGGTCCGGCTGCGGCGATGTAGGCGGGGTTGCGGGGATCATGATCCGTCTGTGGACGAAAAACTCGGAATAATGAGCATTAATATTAGCATCTTCTCTTTAGAGGAGCTAGTAGTATTATTGTCGTTACGGTTCCGGTAAATACATGACAGCCCGATTTTTTTATATGATATGTAGTTTTGCACCCGTGTCCTTTGTAAACACTTGTACAAAAAAAATTTGCTCAACTAACTCGTGTCCGTGATCAACCTTCATATTATAGCAGTTTGGATATTAATGCCCGCACACTTGTACTTATTTCTGAATACAAAGAAATTATGAAAACTTACGATAGTCGAAGCATTGATATAATCGGAGCCGAGATGGTTGGACAGCGTGTTGAGAGTGACTCGCGAGTGGTCGTACGGGAGCACATCAGCGTATCGATTCTTGCCGGTGTTCTCAGGCTTCAGGGCGGCAGTAGTCGCACAAGGTTCGGCTTCGTACGCGCACAGGGCACGCCACTCTTGCTCCAAACGGTCCTTATTACGGAGATGATCTTCCATGTAAGCCTGCAGACATACACCTCATCATAGTTTCACAATGCATCATCAATCAATCAACTAATTTTTTTGCGAAAATTGCAAGCATATTCTATGGGTAATTTTATAAAAAAAACTTCTCAAATTTAGACATATCGGACATAGACAGATTGGTATGTCATAACGGGAAAGGTCGTGTTTTTCATACGTTTTAACTTACCAAAACCATGTGGCCAGTTGAAATATCCATGTTGGTTAAAGCTGGCTCCTCACTCCTGAAATAGATTTATAAAAAATGTCATTTTTTTATGGATAGGTCCGACAAATGACTCCACCCCACCTGCTGTCAAGTGACGGTGAAGTCCAGACGCGAAGATAGCTGAAACAGCAGTTCTACCTGCCATACCGGCCATCCTCACTCTGCCGGCCTGCATGTTGCTTCTTCACGCCTTTTTTAAAGGATCTCAGGTTGTAAGAGGGAGGGAACACGTGAGCGGGCATAGCATTCCATTTATGGATAGTGCGACAACGAAATTTTGTTGGAATGATATATATGGATACAATGTAATGTCACTTTAACTGGAAGTTTACTTGCGTGTGACGTCATTCTAGGCTCCGCCAATCCCAAGCATTTTGGGTCACGTGACAATAGATAAGAAAACTATTATCTTTTTCGTGTGTTTTTAGTAAAATTATGAATATTTTTTCTGTCAAAATAGTGAAAACCCCTGCCAATATTCATTCAAAAGACAGATGCTAACAATTGGCACTTTATTTTTAATACTGTCAAATACCCTATTTGCCTAAGTATAAAAAACTATAATTACAGTAAGGCAGATAAGGATGAAACAAAAATATCAAAAATGAATAAGGTTAAGAATAATAATAGTGTTTAACAAAAGCAAAAAAAACATATTTCTGTCAGCAATGTATCCAACAATGTGAAAATCAACTAAGTAGCACTACTAAAATACAACTAAAAGAGAAACCAGAAATACAGAACACTAACCACGATGATGTACTAGACCTCGTCGAGGGCGAGTTCGCATCAGGCTCCCGCGACAGCGAAGTTATGCGTTGTGGTGGGTCAGTGGAATGCGAGGGTGCTGCTGCGGTTTGCTGTCCTGACCACTTGCCAGACATTCGGGCACGGCATAACTCCTGCAATGAATATTTTTCACATAAAACATTTGCCGATAGTCACTTATCACATTTGATTAGGTTTTTTGGCATAAAACACTTTTATAAAGGACATTGTTCGTTCTGTTACGGGGATAATCGCGAATGGTTTTTTTAAAAAAAATATTTTAATTACACTTAAAACTTTATTATAAGAACAATGGAAATATATAGATTTATCGGATAAAGACGTTAAAACGATCTTTAGGCAACCGCACTGAATGGAGGATGAACACGGACTGTCGGATACTAACCGAGGAGACTAGGGCTTGAGTTCTATAGTGCTGACCAAACATAATGGTCAGTAGGAGCAGCAATATACCTAACATATATCAGGTATAACACCTCCCCTTTAAGAGGAGACTTGGGGTTGACTCTAAGTCTTCGTTAGATTTTAGTTCTGAGAGGGGCAATAGGGCTGGTCATTTCTATTTCAGGATCGTCAGGGTCTTGTCTGTCTGTTTCTGATGCTTTAGGAGCAGATTGAGATAAGGGATTATTTAGATTAAATTTAAATTGAAAAAGACGGTTGCTGCCAGATCTACAAATCATTTTCTTAACAATAAAATAAGCAATTATAAAAACGATAAATATAAACAATAACATTATAAGAATGGAATAATGTGTCCCATATTTCACAATATGTGGATTTACAGGGAGTTCAATAGATTTTAAATCGTCTAGAAGAGACTTAATTTTATTTTTGTTTCCAGAAGTGAAATCATCCAAGTCTATGTCGTGCAAATGAACAGGAGACACATTATTTACTACATAATTTAGCTTATCTAGATTACAACAAGTGTCGTTTATTAAATTAAAATCTGGTACATGGTTAATGGGTGAAGTGATATTTAGAATATTATATTTAGGGACTAATATAGTACTTTTACAATATCCACTCTAGGGATACTAACAATACCAGTGCCTAAAATATTTGTTTCATATAATTCAGAATTACGACAATCTATCGAGATTTTGTTGGGTTCTGATTGTATAAAGATCCACTTGTTATTGGACAATGGTTTCCAAATGTCCAACTTTCCAACTATAATTTTAGATTCGCACTGTAACGGTTTTTCACTGATCACTTTTGCTAAAAGTTCACTTTCACATGTCATTTTTGCACCTGTAGAATACAGGTTTTCGATGTCACAAATAAAGTCTTCTGTGCTTATGGCTTTACAGATTTCCAGATTGTCGAAAGTACAATAGTGAGACTTGTCTTTGGTCATTGCAATATATTTATGATTAGGTATAATTAAACTAAACGAGTTTGGTTCTTTAGAGTTGTATGGTATAGGAAGAGCAATGGTATGAAATAATACATATCCTCTAGTGTTAACTAACGGCACTTGTAAAACAAATATAATCTTATTCTTAAAATAATAACAAACTAACTTAGAAATACTAAAAATAAGATACACAGAATTAATGTCTAATACAACAGGCAACTCATAGTCGTTAGATAAATGTCTGTAGTTATCGGCAAGCTCGTGGTATAATTGATTTGGTGTTATGATTGCGGGGTGTAAAATATTTTGACTGCTGAACAAGACAGCATTGGTTATGTCTTCCAACTGGAATGACAAGGTCAGTATTGATGTTTCTAGGATATTGAGTATTTCATTAACATCAGCGCGTATTTGCAGTCCGTTAGTTATTTCAGAAATATTTTTTATATTTACAGAGAGCTTGTCGATAGCTTCATTAAGGTTGGCTTCGTTACTTCTTATTTTATGTAAAGTATTATTATAATATGTTATGGTGGAACTAGTGATCAAAATATTTTCTTTCATAAGCGAAGCTAATTTCTTTTCGTTATTCTGTAATGATGTTATTGCTTCGTCATATTTTAAACCATCATCTTCGTCTAGGGAACCGAAAATCTGTTTTATGACTGTTCCTATACCTCCTATCCATGCACTACGTTTTATTCTATTGTCTAACAGGTGAGAGATGGACGCATACTCTCTTCTCATTTCTTGAAATTGTGCTGCTAATGGTTGCAACGAGTTACGGCTTTCTGCATCAATCTCTATAATCGGGGTTTGTTTACATAATTGCTTTGTAATTTCAAATATGGCTTCGATATTTTGTATATGTAGCTTAAAATGTGAGATATCTACTTTTAACTGTCCCTTATTTATTCTAAGTTTTCCTAAGTAATCATAGTAGAGGCCTGAACTTGAGGTAATCGGCTGGATAAAATCTTGGTGAGATTGACTTCGAGTTGAACTGTAAATAATAATTTTAAGACTATTAAATAACCTAAAGGTAAGTATTCTATTCTACCTAATACTCTATATTTTTTTTATTTTACTAAACTATCTTATATTTCTAAGTATTTTGTATTCATGGGTTTATTTTTTATAGGTTTTATGGGCAAGTCGTCGTGTAAACAAAACCCATATCTAAGGTAAGTATAATATTATTTCTTAAAATTTATTTATACTATTTACTAATTCTATAATATCTATTTACAGGTTCATTTCGACATCCGCCAGCTTCACCTGATCGAAGTGATGGGTGATGTGACGTCGATTAATAAGTAAGGTAAGTGTATTATTACCATTAATTTTTACTACTTTGTAGGGTCCTTTCCAAAGAGGTGAAAGGGCCTTACGCATTCTTAAATGGTTTTTAACATAGACATAATCGCCAGTTTTATATTTCCTCAGGCGACTATGAGTGTCGTAATAAGATTTGGAGGATTCTTTGGATTGCCTTATGTAATCTAAAGCTTTCTCCCGAGAATGTTTTAATCTGTTTTGGAGCATTCGCACATAATCAGGGTATGTGGCTCCTGGTGATTCTTCGTAAATAGAGTTTGGAATTACTGGTTTACTTCCGAACATTAGTTCGTAGGGTGTGAAGTGAGTTGTTGAATGAACTGTCGTATTATAGGTAAGCATTGCTGTATAAACATAACGAGGCCAATTTGTTTGTTCTTCGTTAGTAAAGGATCTAAGGTACTCTTTAAGAGTTGAGTGACTCCGTTCCAGGGCACCTTGGGTTTGTGGGTGATATGGAGAAGCCCAAAAGTTTTTTATTTTAAGGAATTCGCAAGTCCTTTTAAAAAGATCAGACGTGATGTTGGTTCCCTGATCCGTAAAGATCATTTTCGGTATACCAAATATTGATATATAGTGAAGCAAGCACTCACTCGTTTCTTCAGCAGTGGTGCTGCGAATAGGATATGCAGAAGAGAATTTTGTGAGATCATCCTGTATTGTTAAAATATATTTTAATTTTGCAGGTCCAGCTTCGGGCAACGGTCCTACAATATCTAAGGATATTCGTTGGCAAGGTTCAGTGGATGTGCTGGTGATCTGCATAGGGGCACGATTTATTTTTCTAAGGGCTTTGTTAGTTTGGCATTGTGGGCATTTCTTTACGTATGATTCAATGTCACTGCGCATATTTTTCCAGTAAAACAATTCTCGAATTCGTTTAAGCATACGGCTCATTCCGAGATGGCCAGCGATTGGAATGTCATGGTTTTCTTTGAGAATTTTTGGGATTTCTGAAAGTGATGGATACAAAATTTTATCTTTATATATGTGGATGCTAATACTAGTATTGTGGAAAAGATAAAGAAGCATATTATAGATTTTGACGAGGTGGTGAGTATCAAATGGGTTTTTATATGTGCATTTATCAAAATGGTAGACTTTGAAAAAGAGCAGGTAATAGGACCTACTTTCATGTGTGAGGAAGGAATTAACTGTTCTTTCTTTTTCTATAATTTCGGATTTGTTAGGTATTTTATCGAGAACTTCCTGTACGAAGGGATTAGATTCATCAAGATCGATGGAGGTAGGTAAAATTATGATTTTACAGTGAGATTTTGTTATGTTTTCGTTGTGTTCCTGGATTAAAGTATTAAAAGATTTATCTTTGCTGGTCATTGTTTTTAGGAACGTGGGATAGTCATCGTCAGGTAGATCTAAATGAACGTCTGTGGATGGTGTTGGTGCGACACTGGGTTGAGGATCAGGAGTCGCTGATTTGTCGGCAACGCTTCCAGGAAGGTTTAACAATTCGTTTTCTGTTTTGCTTTCCAGCGTATCAGAATCGTTAGGTTGAGAACTTGTTCCAGGTTGAGGAAACGTTAAATCATGAGCACTAGGAATCAGTGGATCCACTTCGGGTAAAGGTAGAATTTCTTTATTAAGATCCAGAGGATCTGGTGAGTTTATTTCATCTGGATCGAATGATGGCGGAGATATAAGCAAGTCCATTAGGTCCTTGTCTAGTTCTTGATTGGATTCTTGGATTTGATCGCTTTCGGGTATGTTTTCGGAAATTGGTTGAATAGGATTCACCGGGTAACGTGAGAGGGCGTCGGCATTTGTATTTATTTTGCCCTTCTTGTAGTGAATGTCATACTCGAATTCTTCTAACTTTAATCGCCAACGGATAAGTCTCGATCCAGGGTCCTTAGAATTGAATAGCCACTGTAGTGGTTTGTGGTCTGACAGGATTTTGAATTTATTACCATATAAATATGGCCGACAAACTTTTGTTCCAAAGACGATTGCTAAGCATTCCTTTTCAGTGACGCTATAGTTACACTCTGCTTTATTCAGAGTGCGGGAAGCAAAGGCGATCACGGCCCACTTGACCTTGGGATAGAATAGCCGAAATAGCGTGATTCGAAGCGTCGCATGTCAAAAGAAAAGGTTGAGTGAAATCTGGATACGCGAGTACTGGAGCGGTAACTAGTTTTTCTTTGAGGGTTTCAAATGCAAGCTGTTGTTCATTTTTCCAATTATATGGAACTTCTTTCTATAAAAGAGATGTGAGAGGTTTTGCTAATTTGGAAAAGTTATCAATAAATCGTCTGTAATAGGATACGAGTCCAAGGAATGATTTAATATCTTTGGGATTTTGAGGAATTGGGTATTCAGAAACAGCTTTAATCTTTTCAGGATTTGGTTGTACACCATTTTCATTGATAATGTGGCCCAGGTAAGCTACTT